CTGATGGTGCTGCTCATTGAGGTAGGAGAGCTTTTTGATTTTGGGGAGGTCAAGGTAGGAACCATAAGTGTTATTTTGGGTTCTCTTCAGAGCTGGCACAAGCAAGTGCTGTTGCAGCTGGAGAAAGAATCACAGAATCAGAGATTCACAGAATGATATGGGGTTGGAAGGGACCACTGGAGATCATCTAGTACAACCCCCTTGCCAAAGCAGGTCCCCCCAGAACAGGTTGCAGAGGAAGGTATCCAGGTTTTGAACATCTCCAGAGACAGAGGCTCCACTACATCTCTGGGCAGCCTGTTCCAGGAGTCTATGACCCTCAAAGTAAAGAAGTTCCTCCTCTGGTTTAGATGGAACCTTTTATGTTTAGATTGTGCCTGTTACCTCTTGCTCTGTCAGTGGGCACCACTGAGAAAAGACTGGCCCCATCCTCCTGACACTCACCCTTTAAGTATTGAAAAGCATCTCTGCCTTCTCTTCTCCAGACTAAAAAGACCCAAGTCCCTCAGCCTTTCCTCATGAGACAAATGTCCTACACTCCTAATCATCTTTGTAGCTCTTTGCTGTACCCTCTCCAGCAGTTCCCTGTCCTTCTTGAACTGTGGAGTCCAGAACTATACAAATTACTCCAGATGGGGCCTCACGAGGGCAGAGTAGAGGGGCAGGATGACCTCCCTTGACCTGCTGGTCCACTTTTCCTGATGCGCCCCAGAATGCCATTTGCCTTCTTGGCCACAAGGGCACTTTGCTGGCTCATGATCATCCTGCTGCCCATGGGACTCACAGGTCTTCTTCCACAGAGCTTCTCTCTAGCAGGTCATCCCCCAATCTGTACTGGAGCAGGAGGTTATTCCTCCCCAGGTTCAGAGCCCTACATTTGCCCTTGTTAAAGACTTCTCTCTAGCAGGTCATCCCCCAATCTGTACTGGAGCAGGAGGTTATTCCTCCCCAGGTTCAGAGCCCTACATTTGCCCTTGTTAAAGATCATCAGGTTCTTCTTTGCCCAACTCTCCAGCCTGTCCAGGTCTTGCTGGATGGTGACACAGCCTTCATACGTCTCAGTTTTGTATCATCAGCAGACTTGTTGAGAGTACACTTGACAGGAGCAGAAGTCCACGATACTACAGGGTACTGCCTAGTGGTCTGTGTTGGATCTGGTAGCCTATGCTCAGGTGTCCACAGCCACTGGAGGAGCTCCTTGGGGAGCTCTCATCTCACAGATCCTGCAGCAGATGAGACAGCCCCACTGGACGTTGCAAACATCAGGGCACCTCAAGAGGCCCAGGACACCACTGCTCATGAAGTTGGGCCGTGCCTGGATCTCTGGTGGCTGCAGTCAGAGCTCAGACATCCAGCACACATGGAGACCCCTGCATGTAGGTGCCTGGTTTTACACCTGAACCCCATCCCATGTTTTTCTGCAGCCTCCAAAGAGGTTTGTCTGGGGTGAGCAGTGAGACCCAGTAGGCTGATGAAGAGCTCCTGAGCCAAGAAGTTCAGGCTCAAGCTGGTATCTCTGTGAGACAGTTTCTACCAGCACTTTGCACCGTGGTCCACTTTATTTGTGCACATCCATAGGAAATGTCACTGGAGGGTGACAGTGACCCTTTTGTTGGTGTTCTGGCACCTGCAGGTTGGCTGTGGACAGCCTGCCTCCTGCAAGGGTGGGTGCTGTAGGTGCTGGGGCCTTACTGGTAGTGGAACTTCCCGTGGGAAGCAAATGATGGTTTACATGTAAGGTGACCCCACAAGCCAGCACTGCAGCAAATACTTTTTATTGTCTGCTACTCAGGAACTAAATTGCATGGCATACATTGACCTTTCACACCCATGGAAGATCTTTCACAGAATGGGTTACACAGAAATGTGCAGAACAGGTTCAGAAGTAGAGCAGAGAATGAAATCCAGCCAGTGTATCACAGCAATTTACCTTTGAGTGGTCAGAGCCTGCTGTATATCTGATGCCTGAGCCCGGCTCTCTGATACCTCAGCTCCTGCTCTCATGGTGCACGGTCCAAAAGCAAGCAAGCAAAGACAAGCTAGTAAATTGATAGAAGCACGGCCAGCTCGTAAGTTCAGGGACAGGGAGCCTAGTGACTGATGTAGGTTATTTCCTTCCTTCTCCTTGCTTTACCTATCTACAGAGTTCAGGAGAGCTGGGATGTTCCTCCTGTGCTTGGTTGTCTTCCCCTTCTCACCTTCCTCTCTCCCTTTATCCTTTGCTGTGGTCGCTGGCTGTGTTGGTCAGCAAGCATTTATAGGATAGTGCTACCAGGCTCTCAGCAATCCTTGGGCTCTTTGCTTTCATGGTCCCTGGATAAATCACAGAGTCAGCAAGTTGCTGAGGTTGGGAGGGACCTCTTGAGGTCATCTGGAGCAGAGCCCTGCTCAAAGAGGGTCATCTAGAGCAGGTTGTCCAGGACTGTGTCCAGTCAGGTTTTGACTGTCTCCAGCAATGGAGACCCCATAATGTCTCTGGGCAACCTGAGCCACCTGCTTCTGAGGAGGTGAGGGACAAGTCGCCAGCACATTATCAGTGAGATCTAAGGAGGAGAGGAAGGAGCTACAATCTATAGATGGGCATGGAGAAAAGGGAAAAACAAGGAAAGCTGTTCTAGTCTCAGTGACAAGCTCTGATTTCCTTGCCCATGGGTTGTTTTCCAACCTGTCGCTCAGAGTGGCCAGGGCAAGGACTCCCTCCAAGGGTGGGCAGCAAAGCAAAGCAGCTGGAGGCTCTGCTGACCTCTTTTTCCCTTTAACCAGTGGAGAATGTGCTCTGAGGGACAGATCTGGAAAACAACTAGAGGAGGAATTAAGACAGATGCTGCATGGGAAATGTGGTGATGCTTCTAGTGGTGAAGGGTCACTTCTAGTGAAGGGTCACAAGCCTTTTACAGCCAGCATGTGAAGCGGGCCTTATTGGCGGGGACACTCATTGTGAAACAGAGCTACCTGGCCCCTGTTGTAGAGCTTGGTCAACCTGTTCTCTAGTTCACCTAGTGTGAGGTGCTCGACTTCATTCTTGTCATTCTCAGCAATGACAGCCCAAGTCTTCCTCTGGTTGTTGCCCATCTCACAGCAAGCACTGGACCAGATGTAACTGGGTTTATTAACCCTCCCCTTAGCGATATAGTTGTTCCCAGGCACAGCGCCCACGATGACGTAGGTGGTGGTGCAGCCCTTGGTCTTACTGATCATGGTTTGCTGCTCATAGTTGTTCCAGGCACCACCGTTCAGTTTCTCATTCTGTGGGATTATGTTGGTGAGGGTGAAGGTAGCTGTCCTGTTGCTGGAGTTGGAGTGATGGCCACTGGGGTTCAAATGGCCACGGTTCAAACCCGTCAGGTTCTTGTAGTCCTTGAGGATAGCCTGGCTCTCACTGAGTTGCTCTAAGCTGATGTTGAAATAATTTAAGAGGGTCCATTCTCTTTCCATAGTTTTGGGATACGTTTGACCCATTAGCTTGAGAGGTAAAGAAGAAAAAAAGTGTTAGTATTGGGAATGGGAATAAAGGAATGTGTTTCTCTGCAGCAGAAGTCTCTGAGTGACGAGAACACACTTTTGGTCAACTCACTGTACAAAAATGCATGAAGCAAAGACCAATCATAAAGCTGCTCCTCCCCAATGAACACAAGAGATTAAATAAGTAACAACAACAAAAAGCTCAGTATTTTACTCCTGATTTGACTTGTGACCTTTGAAACCCAGCCTTCAACCCACAGTGGGAGTGTGGGTGGACGCATGAGACAAGGAGCATTTTCCACACTCAGGGTTGAAAGGTGACTTTGGTGAGACACCTCTCCTGCCACAGCTGGTTCCCTTTCCTCCCTTCTCCACATCCCACATCTGCCCAGGCCTCTCCCCAGTTCCTCCCAGCCCCAGTAAGCACATCCAACCTCCATCACCTGCATCAAATCACGCTCTCCTCAGCCCTGGCCTTTGCTCTCTTCAGCCCCATTTCCACAAGAGCTCTCTCAGTCTCCATAACAGGTTTTCTTGCATTTTTTTGTCCAATCTGTCAACACCCTGGTGTTTTACAAACTTACGGAAAACAAGCACATAAATATCCCTTTTGAAGGTTGGGTATCTTAGAGGATCCTTGAAGCTGGACAGGATGGAGGATGGGGTAAGGATGAGCAGAAGAGCCATGCAGCTCTACAAGGGGGAGATGAGAAGAACTCAGACCCTTCAGCTCTTCTCCTGCTTCACCCCTCACTCAGGAAGAAGTATATATGGTTGCTGCAGGTGTATCACACTCCTGAAACACCAGTGTTTGCCTTCCTCTAATGGCACGTTCTTTTAAGTTCAGTGTGGAAAAATGGGCACTTTTAGGGTATGACTCATTCCAACCACCTGCTATGTCTCAAACACATCAGAGGAATCTGATGCTGAAGGTGTTGGAAGTTAGATGAGACAAATCCCATCCAGTGGGTTCATTTGCACACATGTGGGAGTGGGAGGAAACGGAAGTGTTTGGTTAAAGGCTGCAGTTCACTTCTTAACAACTGGAGGGTGATGTGCTGTAAGAGAGGACACTCACCTGGGGCTCAACGAGCCAGCTGTTAGGTCTCTTGCCAGGTCCAGGCTGGTAGATGTAAGCAGAGTATGCGGGAATACGCAGGTCTCTGTTGTACAGGGTGGCAAAGTGATACTGGTTGTTGTAGAGCTGGCAGATCCAGGCTGGGTTTTCTGGTACCAGGGCATCATTTGGCGTTGTTTCCCAGAAAAAAAACTGAGGACAACTTTCAAAGGATATCACCACCTCGCTGCGTCCCAGCCAGAGGCAGCTCGCCAAGACCTGCAGAAGCAGCAGCAACAGCATCGTGGGGAGGATTTCAAGTGAAGGGATATTCCTTCACCTGGAGGGCAAATGCAGAGACACACTCAGCTTGGAGGAAGCTCATCATTGCCTGGAGTCATTTTTGTGCTTGTGGGACAAAGCTGGCAGAGGAGGGGAATATCTGAGACTAAGGAAGGGATAACTTCTGTCCTCTTGGATATGGAAAAATAAACAGGGGAATTAAGGTGAAATGTAAAATAGGTTTGAGGTACCTAGAAGAGGCAGCAGCGGGAGAAGTCAGCCCCTCTGAGGAGTGATCCAAACTCATTCCATTTCTAATCAGTGAACACAGCTTTCTTGGAACTGAGGCATGTTGAGAAAAGGCCACCTTTTCCAGAAACCTTTGTTGGCCAAAAGCTCAGTAGGAAGGCAGAGTCTTGAATACCAGCACCAACATGGTTGGTTTTGGTTTTTTGTATTGGTATTGGATAAAAAAGCCTGAAGGCACCCAGGAGCAGGAAGCCCCTATTTCAGTGTATCACCTTGCTCCCTTCAGCTCTGGGGATCTTTCCACAGCAAAAGAACTGCAGCTGGGAAAATTCTTTGCCCAACCACCTGCAATGTTGAGCTGGGCTTTAGTCTTGAGGGGATTTGGAAGGGAAATAGCAGCAAGGTTTTGCTTCCTGCATATCTCTGTCCCCATCCATGTTCACACAGACATGCAGATGTTCCACAGCTCCTCTGTGCTCGCAGCAGGATTAATCTCCCTTTAAGTTAGGTTATATTTTTAACCCAAAGTTCCTGAAAGGTTCTTCTTTTGCACCACCCTCTGCACGAGCTTAAAATATAGCTAACTAACTTAGTATCAGATATATAGAAACCAACCTACCGTCTGAAAGAGCAGCAGAGAAACAGTATTTCTATGCACAGGACTCCGCTGGCAGCCCCAAAGTGGTAGAGGAGTTTCAAACACCTCTGCTACAGCCTGAAGCTGGCTGTGACCTTGGAGGGTTTATATACGATCTCCTGGAAGGCAGAATTGTGTAATTCCGCTTTGTTACATTTCTCAAATGGGGTCTAGGGGAAGTTTGTGCAGGGGTGGAGCCAGGATGTGTGTTTTTCCAGAGGCCTTTTACGAGGTCATGGGCAGAGTTATGGTATTCAGTAAGCTCCCCCCTCCTTTATTCAACAGTTGGATGTGAATTTTCCAGGTGATTTGGCAACAGAAACTTAATTATGTAAGGTGTTTTATGGCATTTCTGATAACCTTGAATTAGGAGTTCCCTACATCTGTGAACCAAACTCTCTCAGTGGGCCAAAGTAAGACCTTGAATCTACCCTTTCTCAGTGTTGCACACAAAAGAGGGTACAAACCCAACTCCCATCTGCTTGTGCATGCCATAATCAACAGGCAATAATTCATAAGATAAGTGATGTTGCCAGATGTGGTATAAAGCTGTGCCTGGCACCCTTTAAGCTCAGGAGGGGACTCTTCACCCAAACATATTTAGTGATTCTTTTGCAGCCTTTGTCAGATGCCTGTGTAGCAGACAGGGGCATTCAGATACAACCCAATGCCTGGTGTTGACTCTTATCTAACCAACACCTTGCTGGGGCCTAGGGAATATTACATCCTCAAGGTTGTGTCCAAGACAGGCAGGAGAAATTGCAATTATCAAGATAAATAACTTAAAAAAAAAAAAAACAAACAAGATAGAATCTGTTTTACTGCAATTGGAGATCTCAGTTCACCATCAGGCATCTCCTTGTCTATCTTTTCCCAAGGATTCCCGTACTTATTGTTTTCCCAAAGCATCCTTGCACAGATACAACATTTTCCTGGGGCAGCAGGTGAGCAGCAGGAATATTGCCACCACTTCAGATCGTCCCACCAGGCTTCGGTGACTTCCCCAGATGGGTGACACATTGCCAGAGCTGCCGAGGGCTCCAGATCTGGGAGATCAGCTTCTGGGACTGCCAGTTCAAAGTGGGGTAGTTTATTCCCTTTGGGAATAACATTTCTTTCATGAGGTTTTGATCTGAGCGCCACCAAAAGTTAATTATTTTTTTTTCTAGAGCATACCTGATTTTATTTTTTCAAAGAGCAGAGATTAGTGTGTGTAGTGACAACTTCCCAGTTTCTTCCAGTTTCTTCTGCCTCACAATGTGTCTCCAGTACTCTCCAGATCTTTAATTTTCTATGCTTTCCCATGCTCTCCCAAGGCATACCTTCTGTCTTCACCCTCCCTAATATAAAATGTAAAGACACTCAAAATACAGTGGATGCATAAACTCTGATTTTCTCCTTGGAGAGGGTATGTTAATGCTCAGCACCTGCAGCCCACCCTTTGCCTGCTGTGTTTATTGGGAAACTTAGGGAAAAACTTTAAAATAAATATTGCAGTCAATGGTTAGAAAGGAGGAAGGGCTTACTTTCAAGCAGAGTACAAGCAGCTGAACTGTTGCTTCACTCTTCTTCCTCAAGAAATGGTCATCTGTTCCCCCAAGCGTCCCCCTGCTATATATAGCAAATCATAAAACTGCCTCTTTTCATAAAAAGAGATACTCAGAGAAAAGAGAGGATTTCTACTGTTGTTATTCAGGGGACACTTATTAATACCTGCCCAGAAATGAGATTACAATTTCTATGTGCTGTTTCCTGAGGATTTCTCCCAAGTTTGCTGACTTGCAGCATCACGTGTCTGTCACAGCAGAACTGGGTCTGGTGGTTTCCCTTTCCATTTCCTCATTCCCCATGGGGCTCCACCGCTGCTGCAGCAGCACCCACATGCATTTCTGTCCCCAGCAGACCATCTCTGGTGGCATTAGACCAACCAGATTACCTCTGAGTATACACAGATCATAGAATCATAGACTCACAGAATCATACGGGGTTGGAAGGGACCTCTGGAGATCATCATCCAGTCCGAGCCCAGCGAGAGCAGGTCTACCTAGAGCACGTTGCACAGGAATTTGTCCAGATGGGTTTTGAATGTCTCCAGAGAAGGAGACTCCACCACCTCCCTGGGCAGCCTGTTCCAGTGCTCTGCCACCCTCACAGGAAAGAAGTTCCTCCTCATCTTTAGGTGGAACTTCTTATACTCAAGTTTGTGCCCGTTTCCTCTTGTCCTGTCACTGGGCACCACCGAGAAAAGACCAGCCCTGTCCTCCTGACACCCTCCCTTGAAGTATTTGTAAGCATTACTTAGATCTCCCCTAAGCCTTATCTTCTCCAGACTAAAAAGACCCAAGTCCCTCAGCCTCTCCTCATAGGAGAGATGCTCCAAGCCCTTAATCATCTTTGTAGCCCCCTGCTGTACCCTCTCCAGCAGTTCCCTGTTCTTCTTAAACTGGGGAGCTCAGAACTGGACACAGTGCTCCAGATGGGGCCTCACCAGAGCAGAGCAGAGGGGCAGGATGACCTCCCTTCGACCTGCTGACCACACTCTTCTTGATGCACCCCAGGATGCCATTGGCCTTCTTGGCCACAAGGGCACATTGTTGGCTCATGGTCATCCTGTTGTCAGCAAGAACTCCCAGGTCTTTTTCCTCAGAGCTGCTCTCCAGCAGGTCAGCCCCCAACCTGTACTGGTGCTTGGGGTTATTTCTACCCAGGTTATTTCTCCCACAGATTTTCGTAGCCTGCTCTTTTCCAGCCTCTCAGAATATAAATAATATGGTCAGGCTACATATTTTTCCTTCACTGATTGCAAAGCCTTTGTAACAGCACTTATTAATGCCATCCTGCAGATCCCGGGGGCACAGCCTGGTCTCTGCTTGCTGCGGTACAGCCACTGCCAAGCATGTATTCTGACAGGGTCCCAATCTGCCCAGAAAGTTGGCTTAGTGGAGAGAGTTTTCTCCCCTTAAGAGTGGTTAAATAGGATTTGAGGGGATGGACACAGAAAATAAGGTTTGGTAGTCTGCACGTGCTTGACCTCGGAGGGCAGAGGGAATGAGAAGGGTTTGCTCCTCTGGTCTTCCAAGGACAGCTGGACAAAAGATGTTGGTTTCCCACATTATTAGTGGGGTGGAAATGGGACTAATGATTATAACCAAGAGTCATCAGAAATGGGTATGAAAAAAGTCAGGGACTCTAAGAAGGGAGCTGTGTCCTGAGCTACATGTTGGAGCAGAGTTAAAGGGGTCTGGCAATATTTCATACAAATTTTGATTAAAAGCTGCAGGGAGCATGGCTATTTTATGGTAAATTTTTCCGTTTCTATTAGACCCTTAATCCCCAGGTCACATGTTGTGTGTCTGACTCCATATATCTATGAACTCCAAGGGTTCAGTTTCTCTGATTTAGCAAATTGTCCCTCCTGTACCCAGTAAAAGCATCTATAGGCAGTTCCTCCCAGTGGATTCCACTCCCTGAGCTCGGCCCTTGTCCTCTGGGTCTGACCTTGCCCAGAGAAGCTGTGGCTGCCCCATCCCTGGAGGTGGTCAAGGCCAGGCTGGATGGGGCTTTGAGCAACCTGGTCTGGTGGGAGGTGTCCCTGCCCATGGCAGGGGGGTTGGAACTCGATGATCTTTAAGGTCCAAAGTACTGAGCTTGATCTCCAGGAAATCCTTGCTGGTCCCCTGCTTTTAACACAGTAAAGTATCAGGTCATGGTTCGAGTGCTGCTGCTCACAAAACGTTGTTATGTACAGAGAAAGGAAGAGGACAGATAGTGAACAGACAGACAGAAAAAAGTTTCTTCTTTTTTCTAAAAGGACTTCAAATTTCCACAATGAAACCGTAAGCAGCTGAAACAGATACCAGCTTAGGTCATACAATTAATACCCAGCCATGATACCAATAATGCAATGGAAACTTAGTCCAAGATTTCAAAAGGGCTGATGGTGAAATCCCACACAGAGAAATTTGCAGCAAGCCAGCCTGGGACGGCAAAAAGCTTTTCCATCCAGCTGGCATCAACAAATGCTAGCCTGGATGAACTTTTTAAGTGGACCAGTGAAGCTGTTTAATATCCTTCTGTGGACACCCTTCTTTTGGAAGTGGAGAAAGATGAGTGCAGTTTAGTTTTGAACAAATGAGTAGCAGGAGTGAAACCAAATTCTTCCACTTGTCCACAGTTTTAATTAAATGTACCATGCACGGTACATTTGCTGCCTCCGTGAAAGAGAGAGGCAATTCCAATAGCTTCAGTGTGTCTGACTCAGCAGATGGAGATGGCATCTCCCTTGCCCAGAAGATCGCAAAGTCCCAGTACGGTGCTCCCAGACTGCCTTCCCCATGTGGCAGACAGAGACTCTCCTGGAAAGATTATAAAGGTATAAAATACCTGAAAACTGAAAGATCAGCGTGCATCTATTTTTAGTGCACCCGATTCAACACTGTTTTGTATAATAAATTTTTAATCTTTGCTTTGGTGACTTTGTCCTCTTTAAATTCCAAGTGTGAGCCAGTGTTTCTCACATAGTCATGAAGGCCCACAAAGATGATCAGAGGACTGGAGCCCCTCCCCTGTGAAGACAGTCTGAGAGAGACAAGGTTGTTCAGACAGCAGAAGAGAAGGCTTCTGGGAGACCTTATAGCAGCCTTCCAATATCTGAAGGGTGTCTACAGGAGAGATGGAGAGGAACTCCTGATCAGGGAGTGGAGCGATAGGATGAGGGGTAATGGCTTTAACTTGAAAGAGGGGAGATTTAGGTTAGATATTAGGAAGAAATTCTTTACTTTGAGGGTGGTGAGGCACTGAAACAGGTTGCCACAACAGAAGAAGTTGTAGATACCCCTTCCCTGGAAATGTTCAAGACCAGGTTGGACGGCTCTTTGAGCAACCTGGCCTAGTGGGGCTATCCCTGCCCATGGCTGGGGGTTGGAACTCGATGATCTTTAAGGTCTCTTCCAACACAAACTGTTCTCTGATTCTATAATTCTATGATTTCTGGTTGAGGGACCTCTGCTGACACTTTTGGGCTTGCTCATGGGGCTTCCTCTGATTCACTCAACGACCTCCTCATGCCCTTTGGGGCTTGAAACCACACTCATCCTTGCCACTACTCGTCCCATGCCC